TGACTTCCGTAGTAAGTTCGTTCTAATTGGTCAATATTAACGGTCAATTGGTTGGTCCACGGTTTACAATCTCACAATATGATTTTTATTCAACCAATATTGAAAAACAAACAAATAAAATTTTCCAAATTTTTTGTTACATATTGTATTAATTGATACATGAAATTTTTTTATATCTGACCCGAGTACCCCACCTGGCCCATATTGAACTGTTTGGGTCAAGTCAATAATTAAAAAATTCAGATCATGTCATGTTGTACATTCAACTCGACCCATCCTGACCCATTCGGAACACTAGTTATAGTATTCCATTCAATAATAATAGTAGTAATAAGAAATTTGAATCTGTTGTGTCTGGTGTCTCAAAAGAATCATTAGATAGTTCTGAAGTGATATGACGACTTGAATGATAATGGTAGTGACATTAGTGATGATTATGAACAGCATTCAGTAAATGAAAGTAATATGGTTTTATTAATCCTGATAATATACAAATAAAAACAGCTTCAATTATTGACACTGCTCTTTCTCTTGATCAACATTCCCCCCTCTTCCTCTTCTTATCATGAAGAGAATCATATTACCTTGTCTCATCATAATAATAATTTGCAATAAGAAAAGCTCCCTTTGAGCATCTTGTAAGAGAAATAGTCAAAAATATTAAACCAAATGTAAAGTTTGAAGTATGTGATAAATAAAATTCAAGAGGTATAGTGCAAGTCACTTAGTCCCACAACTTTCTGCGCCACAGTGGCCAATTTTGAGAAAATATTTCCAATAAAAATTTTATGGTCACATGATTTTCAAAGATCATCACACACATTAATATGATTTATTAGATAATATATAGTTAAATTTAAAATGAAATTTTGACATTAGCAATAGAAATAAAATGTATATATATACTTCCATAAAATATACTTTTGGTGCTAGGTGGGAGATAGCAGTATATTTTGCACATTCTTTGATCAATGCAATAATCTATTTATTAAATTAAAATAAATGAACTTAGCTGTTCTTTGTATTTTTTTAATAATAAAGATAATTAATTATCTTCCCGTTCATCTGGAAAATTCACGTGACAAAGGATCGGCAATATAAGATAAATTTTTTAAATTTTTATTTTGTTTCAATTTGTCTATTTTTGATATTAACTTTTTTGTGTGTAACTGGCCATTTTAGGGCCAAGAATAGTAAATTCGGTAAACTTTGTGCAACTTTAAAGCTCAAATCCTCCACAAAAACATGACATATCAATGAAATGAAATCGTGGTTTTGTAGAGGAAGGTCTTGGCTTCCAATACACAACTTATTTTTGGGGTGTTGCATTTCTATTTTTGGAGAATTTGAAAATCTACATGACCAATAAAAAGTTGTGGGACTAAGTGACTTGCACTGTACACTTTTTCAACTAAAAAATGGGAGTTTTTTAATTCTAATAAAATATTAATAATCACTTTATGTATAAATATTAATTACCATTTCTTTTATTACAGAAATTATGTGCCAGTGGATCTTGAATTTGCACCACAATTCCATAGCAAGTCAGGATTGAAATATTAACAGACTATTAAAATCATTACCTATATTGCTTTATAAATATTAAATATATGATATTATTATATACCAGTATTGGGAAAATTACTGGAACTAGAACACTAGAACAAAATTTCTAATTCCGATTCCAGGGAACATCAATGGAACCAATGGATTTTATTTTAACATTTTATTTGTCAATGTACAGACTAACTTTATTTTATTTATAAAAATTTTCTAATATAATATCTATGATTGTTTTTCTGGAAATAATGGATATGAATTCATTTGGGGATTTCAATCCAGATTTAAATAATCTTGTTAATTTCCATTTTGTCTTTTTATTATAGCTGGATGTACCTGATATTCAAAAATGAGAATGATATTTCTCTTTTGCTACATTATGAAAGTATTCTTTACTTTGTTGACCACCAAAAAGTTTAAACCCCAATGGAAGGGATATTGAATAGCTAAACAAAAAAATATGAATAAAACCATTAACACAATTAGTTAAACAATTTTGATCCCTGAAATTTCTTTGTGACATAACGTTCACTTTGTATCTGGTTTTGTAGTCTGCCTCATATATAAATTGTTCAATTCCAAAATTTCACAGGCGATAAATCATGTAAATCATTCTAAACATTGTACCAAAATTATGTAAATCTTTCTAAACATGGTAATTTAAATACTGGACTTATCGTATTCAGGGGTCATCTTTGAACCCAGTATTTTGTTTTTTATGGAGTTATTTATATTGTTATATTACAGCACCATATGATCTCATTTTCTTTATATGATTCTGATCATAATATAATAATAAGAAATTAACCCCCAAACCTAACCAAATAAAAAAATAAAAAAAAAATATCAATTTGGCCTTAATAATTTTCTTTTATAAAGAACAGGTTTATTTATCATACAAAAAAATTTTAATAATAAATAAGAAATTAGACAAGACAAGGAGTCTGTGTCTGTTCAAATAAGGTTCCACGAGCTCGATGATAACAAAATACCTTATTTCTTTTTTGGGCCACTAATTTCTTTAAATATAAAAACTTGGTGATAAAACGAACAACCTCTTTAACATTTTCATAATAATTAATTTATTACTTTATTATTAATATTTTATTGTAACGATATATAAGCCCAGTTTTTTAAAAAAAAATCTCAACAGCTGGCACCTGTAAATATTTATTGTATTATTTTTTTTTATTTGCTACCATTAGTATATTTTATTATTATTATTTTTACTCAAAAAAAAAAATTCACGATCTAGTTAGTATTACAACGAAGAATATCTGTTTATTAAATAAAACAAACAATGGGAAATTCAAATGGCAAAGATAAAAGTGAAGAAATAGTTGATGGTGGTCAACTCGTACCACATGGCTTATATAAAGGACCACAGGATTGGGATACCAAAAGTGTTCGTAAATTCATCATAGAACGGAAGTTAGCACCCTTCTATAAAGGATTATCAGACTATGATGATAATTGGGATGATGTCACTCTGACAACGCATAATCTCCCAAAAAATGGTGAGATAAAAAAAACCATCACTGCATTAGGTGGCAAATGTAATAATAATAGTAATAATAATAATAATAATCATAATAATAATAATAATACACAAACAGGAGCCAAAGAGTTAAAACGAACAGGTACTCTAAACTCGACAGGAACTAATAAAGGAAAAGAAATTAATTCAATGAAAACATTAGAAACTCAATTATATAAAGGTGCTGTAGAGTGTCCAATATGTTTTTTGGTAAGTAAAAAAAAATCTTTGTTTTATGATTATTTGATCATGAAAAAAATTGCTATAATGTGAAAGTTTCGAATATTTATATTTAAAATAGTTTAATTATTATTAGTGAATTGGATAGAGATGTTATTATTACATATATATATATATATATATATCAATATTAAGAAGATTACAATACCTTTTATTTAATCTTTTAAAATTTATTATGATTTTTTTACCAAAAAAAAAGTATTACCCTCAAAATATCAATCATTCTAGATGCTGCGATCAACCAATTTGCACAGAGTGTTTTGTTCAAATAAAGAGGCCAGAAAATGGTACATTAGGTGCTAATAATTCTCCAGCGGTGTGTCCATTTTGTGTTGAACCTAATTTTGGTGTATGTTATAAACCACCACCTTTTAGTAATGGCATAGGCAGCGAAAATGTGGTATGTTTTATATGATAAGATCCTTTTTTTTTAAAAAGGAAAGAGCAATTTAAGTTTTACTTTAATTTAATATGTTATTTGGGGTGTTTTTTTTTTTTAAGACTTTACATACTACCATACAGAACAATAATAGTTCACCTTCTTTATCATCTACAAATACTTCATTCAATACATCATCATCTGATTCTAAATCAAGAAGAAAAAGTGTTAGTCATAAAGATCCAGAGGTTGTTACTAGTGGTATGTTAATAAACTAAACTTTTTTTTTAATACATTTTAATTCATTGTTAAAAATGCTTAATACCAATATTAATAAAAATATTATATTTTTTAAAAAAAAAAAAATAAATAATAATAATAATAATAATAATAATAATAATAATAATAATAAAGACCAAATTAGGCCAGATTGGGCAACTCGTGTAGTACTCCAATCTGCACGTCAACCATTAAGTCCACGAAGACTTCAAAACTTAAATTCGCCAGGGAATCCAAGGCGTTTTGTACCTCGTCCTAACCCTCCTACTACCATCGTACCACCTTCTGCTTCTACCAATTCACGACGTAATTTAACCCCAGATGCAGATTATAGTCGATACCTTGCAGCCATGAGAATGGGAACTGATTTAGAGGAATTAATGGTTATGGAGGCTATTAGATTAAGTTTGGTAGAACAAGAGGTTGCGCAACGAAGAGAACGTGAGGAAAGAGATAGGTCAAACAATAATTCACAAGAAAGTTCTAACACAATATCATCACAAAATGAAGAAAATGAAACCAATAATATTCGAGTTAATGATATTGATGATGGTGATGATGATGATGATGATGATGATGATGATGATGACGGATTATTAACACCAAGAAGATTAGGATTGAATGGTGATGAGGATGACGATGATGAGGAGGAAGAAGATTTAACCTCACATTCACTTGAAAATACATCGACAATAGTTTCAACACCAATAACGACAGGCACAGAAGATGAAACAATAACGAGTACATCAGCACAATTATCACCTCGAGGTTCACCTGTCTCAACAAATTACATAAATGATCATCAACAGATAAATACATCACTGTCACTGTCATTACCACCACCACCACCACCACCACCATTAGCATCATCGTCGTCGTCATCACCATCAGCAACTACGACAGCTACTGCAACAGCAACCGATTCAATAACAGCTACTGAAACAGAAATTGGAACTATTACTGAAACAACAGCAGAAACAACAACAACAAAACCAGCAGCAACCACTACTTCAATAAATGCTCACAATGTTGATAACGATAATGATAATGTAACAACTACAACGATAATAGAAGAAATAAGATTAATAAATAGAAATGACGATCAAGAGATTTCACCACCACCGCCTTTAATTACCGCCAGTGAAAATGATGGTTAGGAGCAAAGGAATTATTTTGTTTATTTTTAAAACCTTGAGATCAAGTCTATATAGAATTTGATTCGAGATCTGTTCGTTTTAAATAGGTCCTTACCAAAATCAAAAAAATAAAATATTTTATTTATTTGTTTTATTATTATTATTTGTTTAATTTCACATACTGGCTTTATTTTTTTTTTTTTTGTTGAAGAAATTCTTTTTATATTATATTGTTTTTGACACACACACATACATATATATATATTAATAAACTATGATTCACTCCGCTTTGGAAATTAATCAATTATCATTTTATTATTTTTACGATAAATTATTGCGATCATCATTTTAAGATATTTTTGTTGCACTTTATTATTTATTATAAACAATAGAAACTTCTGGTCTTGCTATTTATGGAAAATTGCATTTATGTATATAAAAGATTTTATCTATAAAGAAAATAATATTACCTCTTTTTTATAAGATCTTCCACGGTTTTAGTTATACAATTGTAATTATAATCACATACTAATACCAAGTTTTCCGGCATAATACATTAACAACATTGAAGCAAACATTAATCCAGCTTGTTTTACATTAAACCCGGATGATTCAATGGATGATGCAAAATGATCATTTAAATTATTAATGCTAATTCTTTGCAATCTCTTTCCTTCTTCATCTGTAATTGTTGTAACATTGGTTAAACGTCTAAACATTTGATTGTTATCATTATTATTCTACAAAATAAATAACAAGTGTGTCCAATAAATCACTTGATTAGCAAATTGATCAATATATTATGTTAATCATTATCATAGTGAAGGCTAATTGCCGAGGGATCAGACATCCCCTAACGTGCCTAATTAACATTTAATTTGGGTAGTGTAATATATAAATAAATAATTCTCACCTTTGATTGGGTTTTTAAAAGTCCAGCCAATGTGGATGTAGATGTTTCTTGATGATTTGCAATAATTATATCTGATGCAATATCATCACCATCATCATCATTGTTACTATTACTATTGCTTACAATTGTAGATGTTGGAAGCGGAGGTAGTGGTATTGATGGTGGTGATGTAGATATCGATGGCACTCTAATAAAATCTGATTGTGTTATGAAAGATGTTTTAAACCTCGGAAGTGAATGTGAATTGATTGACGCAGTTGAAGTTTTTATAGAACTTGATGTAATATTTTGATTTATAGATTCCTGAATTTGATTTTTTGAAGATGATTTTGAAGATTTTGATATTGATCCTTTCTTAGTATTTTTATTTGATAATGATGGTGACGACAGCGACGGCGACGACGACGATGATGATAATGCCAGAGGAATTGATTTTCCACCATTATAAATAAAATCTATTCCTTTAGATGTATTTCTTTTGATTTTAATTTTCAACATATTTGTATAATCATTTCCAGTTGGAAACATTATACGAACAAGCTCAAATTTACTCGGTAATAATTCAACCTTTACATTTTCAGGTTTGATGGTTAACTCATATCCATTAGGATACATCTTTCTTGAAGTTTTTAACTCGGTAACCGCACCACCAAAAACATCTACCACCTCAATGTCACATTCAAATGTTTTCGTGTTGACCACACATGATTTCATCGAAGTTTGTGATGTCGATTCTCTAACATAGGGCGGGAATCCACTTTTTTGTAACAACTCGTCGATCCTGTTAAGTATAATTGGAGTCTGAATGGAAACTTGTCTGAGGATTATGGATGGAACTGTGTCAATTTTGGCGTTAATGTCCGCAATGTATTTTATATCCACATATTTTGTAAATCCCTCATCATCAAACTTTGATGCAAATTCAAAACCTGCAAAATCTAATTGTGCCCTGACATATTTTTTGGTCTCTGGGATCAATGGATCTATTACTGATGTTGATACATATCTAACTATTCCAGTCTCAAAATCATATTCTGTCGAAGATGCCAATGACAAATCTCTTCCACTATAACATTATGAGAAAATATTTATATCTATTATTATTATTATCAATGTAACAAAATATGTATATATAAACAAGCACGCACATATTACCTTATCGAAAATGAGCCTTTTATCACAGATTTGACTAGACTATCAAAGTGATTCAATTTCTCCAATACAACACTATCTTCAAACCTCTCGTCCCATATCTTTCTCATTTCTACACTATTTATAATCGACAAGATATCTTCTACAGTAAATCCACCAGAGATTCTTGATTCACCTCGTATCATTGGTATAGATTTACCGCCAACATCTTTGGTGTAGATTTTAACACCTTTATCATTCGAATAGAAATTCCATCCATCCAACGACCTTGCTTGTGATTTGAAGTTGTCTATTGCTGCACGTAATGTCTCGGAATGACGATGTGTCGCTCTATTCTTTTCAGGAATTTTAACATATTTTTTTTTTGAAGACGTAGTATTTCGAATTGGGGTTGCAGTTGGAATTTGAGGTGAAAATGGAATTTTAGTCGGTGTAGCAGTAATAGGTGATGACGGTGATGATGATGATGGTTTTATTGGTTTTGAATGATTATTATTGGTATCAGCAACTATTGATGGGATAATTCTAGGTGATCTTTCTGATAACGATGAAGATAATTTTGAATGAATTTTAGCTTGATCAGAAAATTTAATTCTTTTTGTACTAGTAAATTTCGGACCATTAGTAGTTGAACTTGTGCTGGTTTTATTATTGCTATCGCTCTCGTCAATATTAATATTAATATTATCATTATCATTATGAATAGGACCGCTTAAACTACTAATATTATGTCGGTCATCATTTTGGTTAGATTCTCCATTATTATTATTATCGTTATTGTTGTTGTTATTATTATTATTATTATTCTTCTTAGTGGTTGACAAAATACTTTTAATATGTTGTAAGGACGCAGTAGAATGATCATTGAAAGTATTAGTATTAACAGCTTGGAGAAACATAGTTGGAGGCCCATTTTTTTGTAGATAAGTATCAATGGTATCGATGATTAAAGGACGTCGAGTCAAATATTTTTTAGCAATAACTCCCGGGACCCAGCCCTTAATATTGGTTTGAAGAATGTAATTAATTTTTGTGACTGGTGGATTGTATGATAATGGTTCCAGAATCCAACCGTTAAGATGAATATGAGCACGTATTCTATTTGAAATGTGTGGGATTTTTGGTGTGTTGACCGATGTTGATACGAAATAAATTTTTCCTTCTAACGTGCACTCAATCTTTTCCACGAGTGACATATCTCTGGCTTGTGATCCGGCCAATGCTTGAATTACGATATAGGTTAAACTGGTATTTTCGTTCAAATTCTCTACCAAAGTTCCTTCCTCATACCAATCATCCCACAACTTTCTCGTTCCGATAACAGCAAAAACGGATTGTGGTGCAAATCCTTTGATAATGTGTTCACCCATGAAAATAGGTGATTTATCATCAGATTTACCATAAACCACCACACCACGTCTGTTTGTTAAAAGTTTTTTCCATCCTGGTTGATCAACTTCCGACTTCAACCTACTTAACGCATCCTCTGCTTGTTTGATATGGCGAGAGGCTAATTTGTCCATACTAAGCAATGGTGAAGTTTGAGGGATGGTGTTACCGCTTTCTTCGTCATCGTCAAAATTCATAAACGTTTCCTCGTTATAATGCTTGTCATAGAAAAGATCATCATTATTCGACTGACTGAAAATAGTGGAAGTATCAGAACTATTAGTGTTAGAATTAGTGTTGGATTGATTAGTCACGGTTGTAGAATTTGTTGTTATAGTTGATGTAGTTTTAGTTATATCATTATGATTATTGTCGATTACTTCTGATACTTTTTTTTTCATCGTTATTATTTATTTTTATTATTTTTATTATTAAAAATTACTATCAGTCAGTTAAATTAATGATTTATAATCTCTATATTGGCACAAGCTTTTTAAAAAAAAATTTTTTCAATTTGGAAAAAAAATTGCTTCGTTATTTTATTTATATGAACGTAAATATGATCATATGAAAAAGATAATTCTCAAATATAACTGAAAATCGATTCATAATTCGCCATTCACTCAATTAATTGATGTGTGACTTTCAATGGGAATCAGTTTCTCTTGGGCTATTATTAAGAAATGATCGTTCGATTGAAATGAATCTATTTGTTATTCATTATAAGCTCGAGCTTACTATTACAAACATTAAAATTAGCTATAAATTAGTCACTCAAAATAATTAACAATCAATTGATCAATCAAATTGATCCTATATAGTCAGTTGATTTTGTCGATCATCACTAAATTGAATTCATAAACTCGATTATCAGGCGGAAATAATGATAATAATAGCAATAACTTTTTCAACGAGAAGTAATGTTGATGTTTGCGACCTGATAAAATGAATAAATGCATGTATCATTTTAATATAATAGATACTTACAATGTTTCTTTTAATTATAATCCAACATCACAAAGAGTTCATTATCCAAGCAAATCGTAATAAATCTCATTCATCACTACGTTCACTACCTAATACAATTATTCAAGATGAACAAACTGTTTGTTTTCCTATAGCCACGCGACCAATGAATTTATATGCAAATAGACAGAGTAGCGTCATCATGTAGCTAACTACTTAATGCACAACATGCGTGACACGCATCATTATAAAAAGCTAATATTTCATCATAATAAGAGTAAACTAAACATCACTATATTAATGTTTCATAATTATAACGTTAATAATGATGAGCAACATTGTCAAATCTGTTTAGAAAAGCAAAAGTTATCCAAGGAATGAAAAAAGGAATTCATTAATTGGAAACAACTATTTCCAAGACATTGGAACATTCATCTGGTCATATAGGTAATCAATTAAACCCAATACTAAACAATCAATATACATAAATATGTCTATATACGTTAGTGGTACTCTCGGTAGAACCAGGATCATTTTAATGCATGTGTACATTTACGTTATGCAAATAACTTATGAGCCTCAACATGGAACTGAGGTACCTTTACAGGTTTTAAAAATACTTTAAAATTTATTTATTAAATAAATAATGACATGTTTGTTAATATTCAATAAATTATAAAGTATTTTTCTTTTTATGGGAAATTTTAATATTTAATTTTTCGCAAATAGTAATTGATGTGCTTGTAAAATTAAGTGGTGCATTCATATCGACCAACTCAACATCAAATTTACGATATATTAAAGCTAACAAAGCTTTCATTTCAATCATTGCAATTTTTTTACCAGGGCATATTCTCAACCCACCACCAAACATCAAGAAAGAATTTTTCGTTTGTTTTTCGGTTACTTGACTATCGATGAATCTGTCAGGATTAAATTTGTCAGGCTCTTCCCAATGAGATGGATTGTTGTTAATTGCATGAATATACATTTGGAATTGTGTACTTTCCGGCCATTTATATCCTGCTACTTCATCAGGTAGACTTCCAAACCTCCCGATCATATTAACTGTAGGTCTTATTCTTGATGTTTCTTTAATAATTGCTTCACAGTATTTCAATTTCTCAATATCTTCTAATGTTATTGGTCTGGTTTCATCACCCTTTAAAACTGATTCGATCTCTTCCAACATTCTTTTTTTAACATTTGGATGATGTGAAATATAATATAACACAAAAGAAAAGGTATTTGAAGTCTATATAATATAGGTAGATAAATATATTAATTGATATATATATATATATATATATATATATATATATAACAACGACTACGACAACACAACAACAATACTTACTGTGTCAGTGCCACCTAGAAATATGTCCAACATATCAGCACGTATTTCGTCGTCAGTCATTGGCCTCGATAATTCAGGATCCACATGTCTTGATGAATTGATGTCGTATGGAGTGTTGGCAGTAATAAAAGAAGTCAACATATCATGTCTTAACTCGGTATTCTTATTTTCATTAATAGCCTCTTCAATTTCTTTTCTTCTTTCTCTAATTATACCTATTAATTTTCCATATAAATAATCACGATTATCAATCGTTTTCTTCACTTTACCTCTAATAATAGGTAAAAATCTGAGATATTTAGGAACAAGTACAAGAATTCCACTTCCTGACACAAAATCATTCAAGGATGTAACAAATTTCTCCGAATCTATCATTTCCTCTGATAATTTTACGTTTTTTAATTTATGGTAATGAAATGGTATTGTATAAGTTCGTTTGCCGGTTGTTAACAGAGATATCAAATCATTTGTAAATCGACGCATCCAAGCAGTCATATCAATAATCACAGCATCTTCTGGATCATCTGGTTTTTTTAAGTCCATCCAATACTTTTCCATCTCTTCAAACATTTCATTTGTCCATTTATTGGCCGCAATACTAAAACTTGGTGTCATGATTGCTTGTGAAAAAAATTGACGGTTAAATTTCCAAGTTTGCAAATCATTATTCATCGTTAATCCTTTTCGATCAGAATCAAACGCCTCTGCAAATTCTTTGCTAGGAAATCTGATCATATAATTATTCATTGATGGAACCAACATTTTATCGACATATTCAGCGCGACAAAGTACAATTTGTCTCACGCCAGCAAATGTCACCTCGTAAATATCACCATATTTTTTATATAATCCAAAAAACCAAGTCTCGAAATCTTTCTTAAAAATAAAGAAGCCACCAATAAATGGAATTGGTATTGGTCCAGGAAGCGGATTTATGCGAGTGAAATGTTGATAGTAAAAGCGTGCTATATATAAACTTATTGCTGTTAGCAATAATGCAAGTATATCAAAAGGTTTGATTGTGTCAGATATAATGTTTAAGAGACTCATGTTTGTTATTTATTTATGAATGCTTATGACGATGAGTGAAATTAAAAATTAAAAATTAAAAATGATCAAAGATTCTAATTTAAATTTAAATTTATTGGATATTTTGGATTTTTATTTATTATGAAAAAAGTTTAATCCTTTATATAAGTCTTTTTTTATTATTATATTATTATTATGTGCTACTACACGCGCGGAGGAAAATGTTAATTCCATATTGATTGTTCGGTTAAATTTTTTATATTTAGAAACAATCTAAATGGATACACAAGATAACACATTGGAGATCAAGTGTCATTCATAAGGATGGCAAAAATGCGAAATCCTTAGTTTATTGTGCGCATAATGTGCATAATGTGCATTGTGTGCATAGTAAATTATTAATGATTTTTTAAAAAAACACATCCACCATAAAATTATCTTCATGATTTTTAGCTTAGATGTAAATAAAAAATGTTTATTGTGTTTATTGTTGTGATTAGAATACAAAATTTTATTATAAAAATTTATTATTTTACTAACTTAGTAAGTTACATCAGAATCATAAAAATCATCAGATTCTTGATTTCCTTTTTTCATTTTCACTACTATCCTTGGAGAGTTGTTATACTTACTCTTGAACAAATTTTAAAATGCGCAACACATTTACCAACAGCAGCATTTATTTCATAATTACAACATTCGCATTGTGCATGAAGTTGCTGAAAGCCTGATACTTGACCAAGTTTATTGAAATGAATCCAAATGGGATTAGCTGGCGCATTTAAATTTTTATTTCATTTATTATTTACATTTTTGGCGCGTAACACAGATTTATCTAATCTATTATGCGCATAATAATAATGCGCATAATGCGCACGACACATCTCTAGTCATTCAATATAAACGTTACACGAATAAAATTATTATCCAAAAAAAAAAATCTCCGTTTTTCATATTAATATAGCAAGCGATTTTCAACCATAATAAAATTTTTAGAGCTAGATTGGGACTTTTAACAACAGTTAAAAGAAAAGGCCAGCTTAAATATTGGTTATTATACACTAGGTCGGAAACGTTTCTTTTCTTCACACTTATTTTAAGATTTTCTTCCAACTAGTATGCAGACTAAAACAAATTCAGCGGCAACAATCGTGCCAAAGTGTTTCCTACAAAGTCACTTATAACTGCTTGAAAGGTTGTGTTGGAAAAATTTCGATTTTAATTATAAGAGACTGATTTATAATTATTTATAGGTTATTAATTTATTATATTAATTGATGAAAATGAAACTATCATAGCAACACTATAATAGAAATGCTTAAAAGTTAAGTAGCCTATTACTAGCTTGTATATAAAAAACAAATCTTGGTTTTTACAAGTATAATCTGTGCTTATTATTAATATGTGAAATTGTTACACGATCACTTAGATCTTATATACATCGGAATTAATGAGAGTGAATATAACAAATAAACCTTGGTTTTTACAAGTATAATCTGTGCTTATTATTAATATCATCCATTAAATATGTAAATAAAAGTCCTTCTAAATCGTTATACTTAATGAATGTTTTATCAATTATTCATAGTTATATAGCAGTTGATTGAAGTGCTAAAAGCAAGATCTATGAAACTTGCAATTAAAACCGTTAATAATCATTAATGAAACTTTAATCAAAAATTTCTTTTCTTTTAAGTTAACTGACATTTTGTTAATAGCCATCTTGAAAGAAGTCCATTACACGAATTCATTGTTGTTTGAAAATATTAAATAAATATCACAGTTAATAAATTTGCTTGATACAACTTTTAATTCATCCAATGACATATATATATTATTATGTCAATCTAGGTAAAATGTTTCATTATAAAAAAAAAATTAATACTTTTCTATAAACAAATTCTAAAATAATATTTAAAGCTTGGAAATTAGAACTTACTATTGCATTAATTATTATTATGTAAAAAAAAAATAAAGTCCAAAGATTGAATTGCGCATATACAAATTTCTTATTTTATTATTATATTATAGAACTTATAGAGCTGGTAGACCAACTTCAAATTAAGATTTTCTTCGAGACTTATTTGTTTACCCTGGCAAAAAATATATCAAAATAAAGAGTTTTCCATATATTTTGATTTTTTATAATTCAAGGAACAATCTTGGTTAAATCGGGTAGGTTTGTGTATACCAGAATGATTTTTTTCTTCGATTTTACATATAAAATTATGAAAACAAAACCAGTCAAAGTGAACATTGGTATAACCAAGAATTTCAGGATCAAAATTTAGTCATTTGTAATTTGATCATAATTAATATCCCATTGTTATCTTAAGTGATATATAGAACTATTCCTATTGTGAGATAGTAAAATAAGGACCGATAGAGAGGCCCACTCTGCTGATCAAACCAAACCAACTCACTGCGGAAGTCACATGGACATATCAAATAGTCTTTTCTATTTTTAATATTATATTTTGTGTAACAACTGCGCCACATATTGCGCAGTGCTACACTAAAAATGACTCATATTCATATTTCTATATTTATATTTAAAAAACATATCCAAATATTTATTTAGTATTAATAAGCATATTTTATTGGACAAAATAGAGTGGAGGTCATGTTATTTGTAATACCCCAAGAGGTATAAAAGGACTTGATTTTAGACCATGTCAAAAACATCATGTTCATAATAACCTTTTAATTATTAATCTAATAATTAATACACTCCTAACACTATTGTAATAATATAATTATCACTAATAAAACACATAACACAATTTACTCTAAATACAATATTGATCTTTAATTTAACTAATAACCTGACAAAGGGAAGCCTTTAGCATGGTGTACATTCTTATAATTGGTAATGATTTTCGTCGATCAGATTACACAAAAAAGAAAATTTGATTGGCTGAATAGATTACACAAAATTTAGAGAAGAGGCTTTGTGACGTATAAGTTTTATCAAGTAGATATTGGAAGCAAATAATGCAAAACCATTAATTTAACAATAATCTACCTTGTTCCTATTATTTATGAAATAAATATATATTATACAAATTTAACAAATTTATTAATTTAACAAGAATTAT